CCAATGACTCCCATCAAGGAGGAGAAGAACGATGTTGCAAACTCCCCCAGCAGGACAACGACGCCGGAAACATTGACCAGCTGGATGACGTTGGTATTCTTGTAGAATGAATCTCTGGTTATTGAGGCAGCCATTGCGAGGATCACAAGTGCGTAAGTGACGAACGTCAGTGCCAGTCCAGACAGCGTTCCCTTGGGTATCGATTTGCTAGGATTCTTCAAGTCACCCGACATGCTGGCACCAGCGAATATTCCGCCTGTAGCAGGGAACAAGATTCCGAAGAGGTCTTGGAAATTTTCTCGCCCATGGATTTGGCTACCAGCGGCACCCTTCGTGAGCCTAGGCTTCAGGTTCTCCAGCAAAGTTTGCAGGCGAATGCCCGTGAATTCAATGTTCAGCTTGGGGTCGCTGAAAGGCTTCATGGCAACCACTGAAACTGGGATGCTGAATGTCGCCACGAGTAGAACAACTAGCAGTCCGTTACTAGCCCTCGAGAACATGGAGCTCCCGGCCAGGCATATTGCAGTGCATAGAACCAAGACGATAGTTCCCCATAGGTACTGCCACCAGAACCCTTCTTCAAGAAAGTTGGCCCAGTTGCCCGATTCCGTGCCAAAATTCTGTGTAAAACAGTCAACGAGACCGACAGCATTCATGCCAGTATTCAGGACATAGCCTAGGTAGAATACGATTCCAATCGAGCCACCAAATTCAGGTCCTAGTGATCGAGAAATCAAGTAATATGCACCGCCTCCTCTTACGGTTCCATTCGTTGCGATGGCAGAGAGAGACATCGTTGTTACCAGGTTGATTGTATAAGAGGCAACAAGAAGTCCTGCGTTCGTCAGCAGTATTTCCAAATGGAGGAAGTTGTTCGAGACAGCATATACTACAGACCTAGCATTCCAAGTAAGCCAGCTTGCCCGAGAATGAACCCAAACCGAAGGAACATCAGGATGCTGAGCACATTCAATGTTGTCGGCACGAAGACTCCAGAAAATGTCCCAAGCTTATGTGCAGTCTCCGATGCACGATTTGCTGACACATTTCTTTCCTTCTTATCCGAACTCGAATCTCTTAGTGGTCCTGCAGAGCGGGAGACATTGGATGCCACATTGCCCGCAGCGGAATCCCGCCTCCCATTGTCTCGACCGTCCCACCAACAAGAGATACTGCTAAAAAAGCTGGTCGGCAACGAATGACGGTGATGATCTGACGTTTGCGAAGAGGCATTCAGCGGCTCATAAGGACGGGACGAGAGAGCAGTCCGCCAATTGAGGAGCCTGCTGTTCTCCTCAGGAGATGCCTGGGCTGGGTCGTTTGGATCCAACCTGGATACATCTTCTTCAGCACTTCGCGTGGAAAAGTTCGGCCTTCGCCTGGACATCGACGCCGGGTTGCTTTTGTTTGGTCCGTCGTTCATCGAAAACAAAATCCTACACCTTATCGCAGTGGGGTCCCCCACCCTTCAATAGCACACTGGCCGCAGCCGAGGATCCCAACAGAAGAGCGTATCAACAGTGAAGCCTTTGACCAAGATGGAACAGCAACATGTTATTAAAAAACGAAAGCATTGGTGTGATCAACAGATTCGAAAATTCGGCAGGATCCAGCTCGGAATGAAGCAATTGACTTAGCATCGCTGCAAACCAAATGGTTGGAAGATCGGCGATGACCTCACCCAGGGGAGAAGACAAACAGTGCAAATTCCCCGTTAGTCACCAGGCACGTCCCATGCGTCCTTCATCGCCTTCCTTTGGCTTGTTGTTATCATTCCATCTATGTATGAGGTTATCGAAGGATGGACACTACCACTCTTCATTAGTTCTGGAATATAACGTTCAGGATATTTTTATACAAGCGAGGCATCGCTTCGGCGGAAAATACGACCCTATTCCACGCCAAGTCGCGTTCCCTCTCCTGTTCTGCCCTCACGGCTAGTCAACACTCGGGAGAATTCTCCGCTTTGTATTGTTGAGTTGTACCGGGCCCATTCTACCTCTCAGTATTCTCATCTGCTGCTTGTCTAGTCCATTGCGAAATGGCGTCAGTGGGGAGAACAGACAATGGGGAGGGACCATCATCCCAACCAGATCGGTCGACTCCTATGTCAACTCCAGCTATGCTTTCGGTATCTCCTGCAGCAGACGTCGGGTCAAGACATGCCTCTATTGCACGACTAGCGTCGCCAGTTCCTTCCCCTTCAACCTCATATTCGTCCAGACAAGTACCTGTACCAAGCCAGTCTGCGACAGGTAACGGACAGGAACTCCGCAAGGTGGATAACCCAGCCTCGCTACCAGGCCCAGGACAGTCGATGATCGCCTCTGCGCTTCAGGAAAGTCTTGATCGCTCACCTCCGAGACTTGGAACTCCACCGAGACGAACCGACTCCCCCGCCTTACTGAATCAGCCAGTGAGGTCAAATTATGGCTCATTTGACAACAAAATGGGAAGAGAAGGCTCCATATACTCAAATGCGCCATATGAGGATCCTGAGGTTGTGAAGAGACACCTTGTACAGCCGCAGAATGCTGTCGAATCCAATAACTTTGGGGACATCGCAAGCAACACCGATGATGAATTCTCTAGCTTGCAATTGCAGGGAGGAGACATTACAAGACAGGTCTATAGGTGGGCGGAGGATGCAGAAGCCGGGAATTCTGTACGAAAACCTCTGCGAAGTAAGAGTTTCAGTCTCAGTAGGCCTACGCCGGAGGAGGAAACCATGGACATCAATACCATACGGGTCCCAGGAGGTTTCAGAAGAGACTTCATACGAAGGACTGCAGGCAGCCCTCATCCTGGAAGTACCGACGGCCGCGCAAGAGCGCCAACGACTCATCATCAGCTCCATACCAGCAGCTTCCTCGAGTTTCTCACCCTGTACGGTCACTTCGCGGGAGAAGAGCTAGAGGAGGACGACGAGGTTCTAGGGCCTGATGAGTATTTCTCCTCAGAACCATGGGACGAAGCAGAAGACAGAGAACCTGGAGAAGAGTCCGCTTTGCTCCGACCAGAAACTCCTGGCCGGAAGAAGCGTAAACCAAAACCGCGCGGTGGTACGGGAACCAACACAACGACTGGAGCATCTCTACTTCTGCTCAAATCGTTTGTTGGCACGGGTGTTCTCTTTTTGCCGAGGGCTTTCTTGAATGGTGGGATGTTATTCAGCAGTTTGGTCTTGCTTGCTGTATCCATACTCAGCTTCTACTGCTTCATCCTTCTGGTCAACACCCGCTTGAAGATCGAAGGCTCCTTCGGTGACATTGGTGGTGCGCTCTTCGGAAAGCATATGCGCCGGGTCATCCTCGGATCTATTGTTCTCAGTCAACTGGGTTTTGTCTCCGCATACATTGTCTTTACCGCTGAGAACCTCCAGGCCTTCGTTCTGGCTGTCAGCAAATGCAAGTCGTTCATCGACATCAAGTTCATGGTGCTGATGCAATTGGTCATATTTCTACCTCTTTCGCTAATTCGTGACATTGGAAAGTTGGGTTTCACCGCGCTTGTGGCAGATGTGTTTATCCTATTGGGGCTCATCTATCTCTATTACTACGACGTTGCGACTATCGTTTCGCAAGGCGGTATTTCGGATGTCAAAGCATTCAACCCATCCACATGGACTCTCTTTATTGGCACTGCTATTTTCACCTACGAAGGGATCGGTTTGATTATCCCAATTCAGGAGTCAATGAAGCAGCCCCATCGGTTTCCAGGCGTCCTTGCCGGTGTCATGGTTCTCATTACAATTGTTTTCCTCTCTGCTGGTGCTCTCAGCTATGCAGCCTATGGCTCCGCGACGCAAACCGTGGTCATTCTCAATCTTCCTCAGGACGATAAGTTCGTGAACGCGGTCCAGTTTCTCTATTCATTAGCAATCCTGTTGAGCACGCCCCTACAACTCTTCCCCGCCATTCGAATCATGGAAAATGAACTTTTCACTCGCAGTGGCAAGTATAACCCCGGGATCAAGTGGAAGAAAAACTGCTTCCGCTTCTTTCTGGTCATGATTTGCGCGTTTGTCGCCTGGGGCGGAGCGGATGACCTTGACAAATTTGTCTCACTCGTCGGCAGCTTCGCCTGCGTTCCTTTGATTTACGTATACCCGGTACGTCTCGAGCAACCGGAACTCCTGAAGTTCTAAAGTTACTGACTCTTGGTTCAACAGCCACTCCTTCATCTCAAAGCTTGTGCGCAATCAAGGCGCCAGCAGATCGCCGACATCGCTCTTTCCTGCTTCGGAGTCATTTCCTGCATATATACTACTGCATTGACACTTAACAACTGGGTGAACTCTGACAACACCAAGCCTCCAGGATACTGCGATTCATGATTCGCAGATCGATACAAGTTTCTATTACGACTATTCCATTTGGTGTACGCGACCTATTTAGATATGAGACGACCACGATCCAATGCTGTTTGGCATTTTGATTAGAGAGCAAGCGATTCATATCACTTTTCTATCCTTATATCATTGTTCATGTTCGAGCAAGCCTGCATATGCACTTCTGCCATGCGTGTCAATAGTTAGATCATTATATCATTAGAGTCTAGCAGCCTTGCGTAGAGGTTGCTAGTAACAAGCGAGATATGAGAGTAATTGATGTGCTCAGACTCAGATGTGACAAGCACTACTCAAATCTCCTGAGATCAAGCTCTAAGAAGGCTAGCCAGTCACCCTGCCGAGACTATCAAAAACAGCCAATCAGTGGCAGTGCAAAGCATTCAATTTTGCAAGAAAGACTATGTACAGCCTCCAGAAGTACCTGACGATCTCATTTATGTAGCAGGGTTGATCAGAGCTGAGAAAACTATTCTCTGCTCGATAGAAGCCGCCTGGCAATCCTCGAACGAGTCGACACCCGAGATCCATTTTTGAATTCGTTTGGAGTAGGTAGGTCTAAGTACTGCTGAGAAAGAGGAAGATTATATAGGGACGGCATCCAGCCGGGACAACCAAGAAACACGCGATCAAAACGGGAGAATCACGTCGCTTACGCGCCGGCTTTGGTAGCGGCTTCTTTGCCCAGCTTGGCGGCCTCTGCGAGCTTGGCTTCCCGGCCTCCCCAGCTAGATTTAAGCAGGGCTTGTCAGTTACATTTCCGGTGGCTGTGTTGAGAGAAGACGAAGGAACAGGGGACAGGAGGTTTGGAGAGGGTGAGTAGAGAACATACTTCCAGTAGTTCAGGTAACGGTATCCTTGGGTCAGCTGAGCGGAGAAGTTGATGGCATGGCAGGCGAAGAGGAGGTAGTTCTTGGGAGAGACAGCGAGGGCGTAACGCATGAAGGTTGCGGAGTAGACTGTGAGCGCAGCAGTCATCTGTCCGGAGATACTGTTCGAGCATTAGTTGAGCGAGTTGACTCATATCTGCGCAGGAGATGCAAAGTAGCTGGGAGGTTCAGGGCAACATGAGAACATTCCAGTGCGAGATAGGGGCATTGAATTCATATTGCGAAGCACAGAACTGGGATACGATCACGACGTACATTTCAGGGTCCTTCTGAGTGTCCATCACAGCAGCCATGGGGATACCGAAGTTCGAGACAGGGCCCCAGAAGTCTGCATTGATAAAACTTCGTCAGCGATTCTCATGCACATTTTCGTCAGAACAAGAAAACATCGCAGAATCGATTGTGAAAAGCCATCAGAAACCTGAATATGCTTTCATCTTTACCGTCGCCCATCCAGGGCAGGCCGATCTCGGTGGTGTCAAGGTGAGGCATTGTACGTACGTGTTGAGCAGACATAATCCAGAACCTTGTTGGAACGGATCTTAGCATTGATTGCCTTGATTGCAGCGGCCATCTTGAACAATCTATTCGATGAGGCAGATGTAAGGCGTCCAAAGACAAGTATCAAGACTGGCCCTTTTGCTGACCAAGGCATGTTGTGCTACCGACCGCGGAATCGCAGCGCGGAGTTAACCAGATATGTCACGTGAGTCCTTACTTGATATGACTACGAGCTTCACGCAGTATGAAGAGCTTTTGAAGAAACAATGCAGAAGACATATTATGAATTGACTAGTGTAATGGGTACTTTAGACATATTTAGCATTACTGCTTGTCGATCCTAGACCAACTTCCTGGAGTTGATCGTTCTTCGTCGGGACATTTCCAGCATCCGCACACGCCGCAACGCCGTTTGCCTGATAGAGATATGTGTGCTGTATCTATTTGTCGGATAGACTTGCGATCATGGCGAGCCCTTTTTGCTTTTCCTAGCCTCATAATCTTGCCGTACTCAATTGACGGCCGGGATAATGTATGCCATCGTGTCGTTCCGCAAACCAATTAATCATCTACCGCCAAAGCCTGGCGGAGGAAAACCCCGGCCCTGTCCGGGAGGCTGAAAGCCTGGTGGAGGCTGGAAAGCACCAGCTGCATCGAACCCAGTTAGCAATTGGTTAACCACATTCAGAACATTGGAGACTTACGAGGACCACCCTGAGGCGCAAATCCAGGTGGGGGACCGAAGCCAGCTAGATACAGATAATTAGTTTCGCATTTCGAGAAAAAAAACTCTTCAAAACAGATAGAACTCACGAGGTCCTCCAGGGGGTCCTCCACGGCCAGCAAATCCCGGGGGAGGTGCTCCAGGAAAACCACCAGGTGGGAAACCACCGAAGCCACCAGGGGGCGGTGGTGGTCCTCCAACGCCAGCAGCGGGGCCTCCGAGACCAACAGGAAGACCTCGTCCAGCGGGCTTGCTTATTCCTGGGCCAGCAGCAAGAGTGGCAGCTGCAGCTGCAGCGCCGGGCACACCTGTTCCAAGTCGCGCGGAGGGTTCGGCGGGAGGTGGGCCATCAACGGAGCAGGAAACGACGTGAGTACCGCGTACAATTGTGAGACCGAGAGTTCGCTTCTCTTCCGCCTCGACCAGGGGAGCATTCGACGGTCCAGCAGCTGGCTTGGACTTCCGCTTGACGCGGCGGAATTCTTCTGTGTCTGCGAGTACGAGGTTCATGTGCTGTGAGTCAAAAAGTACTGTTATCAGCTGCATGTATATGAGTCGAAAAGCGCTTGGTAGAATTTACCTTATCGAATGCGAGCATCTGTCCCGTCATCTGTCGGCCGTCGGTCAGGGTAATCCTCATCCGATAGTTGATCTGCACGAAACGTTAGACTCGGCGGGATGGCGAGGTCTAGAAAAGACATCGAATCAATGACTTACGAGGTTTTGCTGCAAGCGAAGCACAGTGTCAGCTATAAAAGACCGCAGAATCGTCTTCGACAAGAGAAACGACCAAGGGAACAGCATGACGAAAACTTACCATCTTGCCCTGCTTGTTGGCGGCCATGCTGGCTGGGCAGCGCGCACGAATGCGACTTGAGAATAAAACCAAAGAATGTAGTGAGACAGTAGAAGATAGACTCCTCTACTTGATCATCCACTTTTTTGAGCTTATGCGCCCGTAGATATTGGAGAATCCAGCTACAGCAAGCTCTCCGACTCTATCGTTCCGCTGGCACGGGAGTCGTGATCGAGACGCGGCTCTGCGCTTAGCGCCAAACGACCATGCCAAGACGCTAAGGGCTCTCGCTTCCCACTCCAACCCACACATACACTTTTGCACACTTTTCGAACCTTCGATTCTTCCACTCAACGAGTCGACCAATTTAACGCCAAAAGCAGTCGCCATGGTATGTTGCCAGTCTCCTCTGCAGAGCCACACAATTGAGGAAGAAGGACAATATTTTTCTAACATTTTATCGCCATGCAGTCGGACGGAAAGGACAAGAGCGCGAACCCCATGCGCGAGCTGCGCATCCAGAAGCTCGTGCTGAACATCAGTGTCGGCGAGTCTGGTGACAGACTTACCCGTGCTGCTAAAGTGCTCGAGCAGCTGAGCGGTCAGACTCCAGTCTACAGTAAGGACGCCCGATTTCGATTTTGATCCCCGTTTTCTTCGATGCTGTTGGACGACGGAGAGGAGGAGGGAGATGAAGAGCAAGAAGAAAAATCAGAGTCATGGGAACAGTATGGCTGATGGGACGACTTTTTTTTTCCAAACTATAGGCAAGGCCCGCTACACTGTCCGTACCTTCGGTATCCGTCGTAACGAAAAGATTGCCGTCCACGTTACCGTCCGTGGCCCCAAGGCCGAGGAGATCCTCGAGCGTGGCCTCAAGGTCAAGGAATACGAGCTGAGAAAGAAGAACTTCTCCGAGACCGGCAACTTCGGCTTCGGTATCAGCGAGCACATCGATCTCGGTATCAAGTACGACCCTGGTATCGGTATCTACGGTATGGACTTCTACTGCTGCATGTGAGTGGCCCTCGGTTCTGGTTTTGGCTTCCCCTGAACTGCCAGTCAAGTTCAGGGCTGACTTTGATGTCTTTTAGGACTCGTCCTGGTGAGCGTGTTGCCAAGCGCCGCCGCTGCAAGTCTCGCATCGGTTCCAGCCACAAGATCACCCAGTCTGAGACTATCAAGTGGTTCAAGAACCGCTTCGACGGCATTGTCCGGTAAATGTTCCGTCCATGGGTCTTCTGGGGGGACGCTTTGGGGTTGTGTGCTTTATGATGAATCGATAAAAAAGGCGGGCGTTTCTCTATATTGCCGCTCTGCTCTGAAATGCTTCTTTCTACCACGGCATATGGATAGGCGTGCTAGGAATATCAATCCACAATTTCAAAACGCATCCACTTTTCACAATGAAGGCTTCACAAAGGGTGATGTTTTCCGCATAACCATTGTTGAAAAGTTTTACATGATGCTCCCATGAGTCTGTTCGCTCCTCATGGGATGTTCCTTGCCGTGGGCTCGTCCTCCTGTCGTGGGGGTCAATCTCTGTCACCAGAGTGCTTCCGTCAAGGAACACTTTTGGTTGTGCCTATGTCTGGGCAGTCCAAGGGTTGAAGTCGTAGGACTTGGGTCGCCCAACCCTTTTCTGATGCCATTCTGGTACCAGAACGGACGCCTATCTAGCACTGTCGTAGGTCATTCATGTAGGGTGTTCTTGCACTGCGTAGACGCTCGTATAGACCCGTAGTATTTCGCCAACTCATCAACATCACTTCACTTTACAGCGATACTATATTGACTGGGTATACAACAACATCTTGATGATGGGAACGCCAATTGCAGGCAGCGGTTATCGGATATAGACGATGGAATATGCACTACTATTCAGGAACCCATGACATTGACTGGCACTGTAATCAGAATCAGCAGCGCAATTCTGCTGCAGGAAACAGTATCAAGGAAGACGGTGAATCTCCATTCTGATGTCGTCAAGATATCGACATAGCTCCGTATGCACTGCATTAACATGTACAAGACAATTCCAATTTCCCTTTCTTTTCCTTCGCATGCATATCGGTTCAATCATCAAGGGCCCCTGGTGTATCCATCCCAGAGCTTCGAGAAGAAGCCACCCTGCTCACGCTGCTCCTTCCAACTCTGCCGACGAGCAGCCATGCTAGGATCAGCGGTATTCCGCTTCGTGCTGGTCAAGCCTCCAAAGAGACTTGAACCCACGCTTGACCGCCTCCGCTCCTCGTTCCCAGTGCGTGGAGGGCTTGCTCCATGGGCAGAAGTGGTGGACGACTCGGATGACGTTGAGCCCTAGTCCATTGTTAGCATCGAAGGACTTAAAAACAAAGATGATGATGAAAGAAATGCTTTGAACGATGGTTTCTAGGAAACTGAACAGACGTACATGTCTGTCGTCCATGTCGACAGAGGGTCTTCTAGCGGGCAGGGTTTGGATAGCGCCGCCTCTAACCCAGACGTTGTGATGTTCGTAGCGGTCACCTACAGTTCCATGCCAGTTGCGGTTTTGGGATCCGTTGTTCATTTTGGATGAATGACTGAGAGCTGCGAGAGCTTGTTGGCTAGAGATTGGTTCCTAAGTGTGTTTAATTAGATGAGGCTCCAGTATCAATCGAATCAGTGCTATTCTTGGGGGGGAGGACAATCAGAGCGAGGATATCTAAGAGTAGCAGATGGTTCAGAGTGTCGAGGATTAACCAAAGAATAATAGACAGACGCCACACATCCTTCCGGGGATTAGGAAGATAGCAAATGGAAATGCTAGAAGAATGTCACTCACCAAATGTTACGACTATGCAATGTGGTTTGAATTCGGGGTTTGCCTGCTTTATCGTATGATCCCCCACGGCTGATTGGTGTATATATATATACCCGACTCTCCGTAGACAAGGGGGGCGTCTCCAGACGAGAGGGGTAAGCTAGCTATCCATACTGCCCTAAAGCAGTGAAACAAACTCGGATGGAATGATGTATCGTGATTCTCAATCGCCCTTCCAGGAGCTTACTTGGGGCAAATACAGACGGATTAATCCAATGATGGCTCGCAGCTGGTCATCATCCCAGCAAATTCCATAAAGCAAAGAATGGTACAATGATTCATCATCTTCGCAGAAGGGTCCAGGTCTGCTGATGGCAGCACTGATGGATATGCTCTAGTGACGACAGCGGATAGGCGAATCACCGATGAGGGATAATCATCCATAGAGAGGTACTCAATCAGACTTCGGGATGTTCGGTCCAGCAGAAGCAGAGTCTCGATGAAGCAGAATGTCTGGGGCAGACGAGCTGACGTCAGGTGCCACATTCTCTCTTGATGCGGGGAATCTCGATCGATTCAGACTGCTCCCTTCATCCATGGATACATATTGGCTTAAACGGGAGCTGACTCGATGCGAATGGAATATGTATCTGATATCGATCGTGTCTCATGCCAACTGATCTGGATGGATACGGTTGATACCGTTTCTGATCGCGATAAGCATTCATCGATCAGATCAGGAGCATAACTTGGTGATGCCTGGGACCTGTCTTAGTTTTCAGGCGTGATTCAGAGATCAGCATGGTTTTGTCCCCGACTTGAAGAATGGAAAGATCCGGACTGCTCTTTTCTTATCAACATGTCACATCAAATGAAATCATCGACAATGCTCGTCCTTCTCTAGCGGAATGGTTACACTCCCAACAAGCGAGCAGTTGCTGCCTCAGGCTCCCATCGGCCTCCAGTTCTAACACCGACGCGGAATGTTGACTTTCCCCGCAAAGACCGGCAAAGCTGTCCACTGCGATGAAAGTATGCCACTCTTAATCTCTAACTCCTGGTTGGCTCTCCCGTCGCTTTTGCCGACGAAAGTGCATCCACCTCCTCTCATGTTGCCTCGAGATTCGTTCACTTGGATGTATTCTTCACCTTGCTCAGCTGCTCGGCTATCAGGTGGCTTATCGTCACCAGGCCGGGGAAATCCCCGCTGATAGGCCTCATTATATATAATGGCAGTCAGATATTCTATCATTTATGATCGGTTGAGACACAAGAAAATGTACTCAGAGAGTAGCAGAAACTGGATTGAGAATCACAGATTGACATGGAAACCACTCGACATCCGTATGTGAAGTCACTCGCTCACCGAGGCTATGTCCAAGGCGTTACCGTTGCAAGGAAAGCTACGAATACTCCCCTTTGTCGCTTCTTTGGTGGCATCCGCTATGGCTTTGCTCCCTCTCAGCGATGGTGTAGAGCCCGCAGACTGCCCTCGAATTACGCCTATGGCACCCGGGATCAGCCCGGTCAGTGTGACAGGCTTTCAGGCGTCTGTCCGCAACCTCCATTCATGAACCTCTCTTTTGGGGATGAATGGAGCGAGGACTGCTTCCAGTGTAATGTGTGGCTTCCTGTAGCGGAACCTCCCAAGGAAGGTATGTCAGCTGAGAACTAGGTGCCTTCTCGACCACCGTCCTGACTGGTTTGCTAACAGCGGACAGGATGGCCGGTTCTTGTCTTTATTCGTGAGTCTTCTATGGCTATCACAAGGGACAGATCGTACCTTTGATGGATATATATTAACTTTTCCGCGTCTTAGACGGCGGCTTTCTCCAGTTTGGTACTCCAAACACCTTTTCGGCGGCTGCTCTCCTGGGTGAGACGGACTTCAATGCCATCATAGTCATGCCCGCGTATCGTCTAGGAGTCTTTGGTTTCCTTTCCTCTTCGGAAATTGAACAAGATGCCGCCTCTGTAGGAGAGACTGTGGGTAACCATGGCTTCTGGGATCAGCGTCTAGCACTAGAGTGGACCAGAGACAACATCGCTCTCTTTGGGGGTAACCCTTCGCAGATCACCATATCTGGTTATTCGGCTGGTGAGTCTCGTTCCAATCTTTTCGAATACCCGTCCTCATTTCCCGTGTACCAGGAGCCTACTCGGTGTTCTATCAGCTGGCCTACGACCTACGACTGTCTCCAGAACAATCTCTTGTAAAACAAGCTTGCATCTGGTCCAACTCACCCGCCGTCCAGCCCAAAAACGCAGCAGCAGCGCAGGTCCAATTCAACCAGCTTCTCTCCGCCCTCAAGATTCCCATGTCCCTATCCTGGACAGAAAAACTGTCCCGTCTCCGCTCAGTCCCAGCCAAGACCCTGCTCGACGCAGCAACCAGCATCGAGCTGCACGAGTTCCGCCCAACCAGCGACGGCTCCTTCATAGACCCATCTCTCTTCAAGTCCTTCGACAACGGCACCTTCGCCCGCAAGATCGCAGCTCGAAACATCCGAATCATGCTCGGCGAATGCTGCGACGAACGATCCCTCTACGCAACATGGCACCCACCGCAAAGCAACACCCTGCAATCCCTCCACCGCCGTCTCCTAGCCGACTACCCCCGTCACATCGCCGACACCTTGATTAAAATCTACTGTCCACGCGGTCAGCTTCCCCCCGGCTGCGAAAACTGGCACACCGACGCCTTCGGCCTGATCTACGCCGACATGCAGGTCCACAAGACGCAGCGCGGGCTCGTCCACGCCCTCGCGGCCGGCAAAGCGGGTCATCTACTCTACCGCTACCGCATCGAGAAGCGGCTCAAGTGCGCGGACCAGACGATCCCGGCCTCGTGGGGCGTCACCCACGCAACAGACCAATACATCTGGTTCTGGGGCAACGGGGAGGCGCTGCAAGCGGAGGAGAAGCCCATGGTGCGGGAGGCGTTCATCGACCCGCTCACCAGGTTTGTCCGGGGCAACGCACATGCGGATATCGGCTGGGGAACGGGGGATTACCGGCAGGTGAGGACTCTCAGGCCCCATGGGTCGGTCCAGATCTGCGAGGACGGCCTGTGGGACGAGGCCATGCGGGTCTGGAGGGCGTTGCGAGAGGTGGGGGAGCCCGGTGAGGGCGCTATTGCTGCGAAATTTGCGAAATTCTAATGAGACGACACGGACTGTTGAATGTTGATCCATGTGCTGTAAATCGTCCATCTGGGACTTGACTTTTGTAGGCTGCCAAACTGTTATGACACACGACTGACACGACTCCATATTCCGCCACACTTCGAGTAGGTGCATTCTAGATGGCAACTGCACATGCGATGAGCTTGTAGAATTTAGTATAGCACCTTCATTGTGCTCAAAATAGATTCGTTTGACAAGAAATATAAACAACAGACACTAAACCCCAACCCAGACATTATAAACGCTCTAAGCAGACATCAAAAAGTCATTCCCATTTTCATATCTCCATACAATAACCCGTGTACGCGGCCTGTATACAAGACAGTAGAACCTCATCCATTCGTAATTTCGACTTTGGGCTCTTTCGTGCTCTACGCCTTGACGATCTTACAGATGAGGTCCTGGCCATCGACGGAATCGCCCTCCTTGACGAGCAGGCCGGAGACCTTTCCGCTGTGAGGAGCAGAGATAACCATTTCCTAATAATCTTATTAGCTTGCTTGATATGGTAGTATTTGCGCAAGAGATGCAGACTCACCATCTTCATGGCGCTCAGAACGGCAACGGGGTCACCCTTCTTGACCTCTGAGCCCTCGTGGACACGGATTTCGACGACGACACCGCTCATGGGAGCACCGACCTGGCTGCTGTCGCCAATGTCGGCCTTCGGGCGGGCGGTGTTGTCGACGGAGGCCTTGTTGTCGTCAACGGCTACCTGACGGACCTCACCGTTGACCTCGTAGAAGACTTCACGCTGACCGGTCTGCTCGGACAGGGGACCGATAGCCAGCAACTTGAGGATCAGGATCTTACCCTTCTCCAGCTCGACGTGGAATTCCTCGCCGATCTCGGGCTTGGCCAAGAAGTAGCGGGTAGGCAGGACGGACAGATCACCATACTTCTGCACAAACTTCTTGTAGTCCTCAAAGACCTTGGGGTACATGGCGTAACTGGCCACATCGTACTCCGTGGCTGAGCCATACTTCTCCCGAATCTGGTTCTTGATCTTGGCCAGGTCAATAGGCTCCAGATAGAGACCGGGGCGCTTGTCGAGCTTGCGGCGGTCACGCAGAGCCTTGGAGCGCAGAGGCTCAGGGAAGCCACCGAAGGGCTGGCCCATGAGACCTTCGAGGAACTCGAGGACAGAGCCGGGGAAATCCAGCTCGCCAGCACGGGCGACAACGTCCTCGGGAGTCAGCTTGTTGGAGACCATGAACTGAGCCAGGTCACCGACAACCTTGGAGGTGGGAGTGACCTTGACAATGTCGCCAAGCAGGTCGTTGGCGGCCTCGTAGGCCTTCTTGGTCTCGGCCCACTGCTGACCCAGGCCGAGTTGACTGGCCTGGAAGATCAGGTTGGTCAGCTGACCACCAGGGATTTCGTGCTCGTAGACCTCAGGGTCGGGACCGGTCAGACCAGCCTCGAAGGGCGAGTACAGCAAACGCAGCTGTGCCCAATAGGAGTCAATGGCACGCACGTGGGCCAGGTTGAGCTTGGGGTCGTGCTCGGTGCCCTCGAGAGAGGCAAGGATGGCACCAACGCTGGGCTGAGAGGTCATACCGGACAAGCTGTCGGTGGCAGCGTCGACGGCGTCAGCACCAGCCTGAGCGCAGGCAATCATAGAGGCCACACCGGTACCGGCAGAGTCGTGGGTGTGGACGTGGATGGGAAGGTCGGGGTAGCGCTCACGGATGGAGCCAACCAGCAGGCGCGCGGCCTGGGGCTTGAGCACACCGGCCATATCCTTGATACCAAGGACGTGAGGGTTGAACTTGACAATCTTGTCCACCAACGCCAGGTAGTACTCGAGGTTGTACTTCTTGTTGGGGTTCAGCATGTCTCCGCTGTAGCAGATGGTAGCCTCGACGACACCCTCGGCGGCCTGCACAGCCTTGATACCGACCTCGAGCTGGTCAACATCGTTGAGAGCATCGAAGACACGGAAGATGTCAACACCGCACTTCTTGGCCTGCTTGCAGAAGTGGTAGATGGCGTTGTCGGGAAGAGATGAGTAGGCGACACCGTTGGCGCCACGGAGCAGCATCTGGAAGGGGATGTTGGGCACGGCCTTGCGCAGCTTGCGCAGACGGTCCCAGGGGTCCTCGTAGAGAAAGCGCATGGCGACGTCGAAGGTAGCACCACCCCAGCATTCCAGACTGTAGGCGTTGGCGTACGCGTAGCTGGTCTCCTTGGCGATGTTCAGCAGGTCGATCGTGCGGACACGAGTAGCCAACAGCGACTGATGGGCATCACGCCAGGTGGTGTCCATGATCAAGCAGCCCTTGTTGGCACGGACAGCCTTGGCAAACGCAGCGGGACCTTCGCGGTCAAGGATCTGCTTCCAACCCTGGGTGCAGGGGACGCTCACGTCAATCGGCTTGCCGGCGGCATCCAGCAGGGTAGGCTTGATGATATCGCCCTTGAGCTTGGGCTCACCGATCTGACCCTTGATGCTGCTGCCGTTAACGGCGACATCACCCAGGTAGGCAAGAAGCTTCTGAGCACGGTTCTGACTGCCGACAAGAGCGAACAGCTCGGGAGTGTCATCGATGAAGGTGGTCCAGCACGTGCCGTCGATGAAGGTGGGGTGGCTCAGCAGGGAGGTGAGGAAAGGAATGTTGGTCTTGACACCGCGAATACGGAATTCAACCAGGGCACGCACGACCTTGCGGCGGGCAATCTCGTATGTGGAACCACGGCAGGTACACTTGACCAGCATGGAGTCATAGTGAGGGGTGATGATGGCACCAGCGAAACCGTTACCACCGTCCAGGCGAACGCCGTTACCACCAGCGGAACGGTAGACTTCGATCTTCCCGGTATCGGGCGAGAAGCCGTTGGCCGGGTCTTCAGTGGTGATACGGCACTGGATGGCGAAACCGCGGGTGGAGATGCGGTCCTGGGTCAGGCCCAGCTGCTCCAGAGTAGCACCGGCGGCGATCTGGATCTGAGCAGCGACGATATCAATGCCGGTGATTTCTTCGGTGATGGTGTGCTCAACCTGAATACGAGGGTTGATCTCGATGAAGTAGTAGCGGTTCTGCTGGTCAACCAAGAACTCGGCGGTACCGGCGTTGCGGTAGTTGACCGACTTGGCCAGCTTCACAGCGTCGGCCAACAGGCGGTCACGCACATCGGTGGGCAGATCTTTGGCGGGAGCGATCTCGACGACCTTCTGGTGACGGCGCTGGACGGAGCAGTCACGCTCGAACAGGTGGATGACGTTACCGTGGTTGTCACCGAGAAGCTGGACTTCGATGTGCTTGGGGCGGTCGAGGAAACGCTCAACGAAGACGGTACCGTTACCAAAGGCGGAGCGGGCCTCGGAGGTAGCACGCTCAAAGGAATCACGCAGATCGGCCTGGTCGCGGACGACACGCATACCACGACCGCCACCACCGAAGGCGGCCTTGATAATGATGGGGAAGCCATAGGTGTCGGTGAAGGCCTTGACCTCTTCGTAGCGCTCCACGGGACCGGGCGTGCCGGGGACCACGGGAACGCCGCACTTGATGGCCAATTGACGGGCAGAGACCTTGTCGCCGAGGCTGTCGATGGTCTCCGGGGTGGGGCCCACGAAGACAATACCGGCCTGCTCGACCTTCCGAGCAAACTCGGCATTCTCAGACAAGAAGCCGTAACCGGGGTGAATCAGGTGCACACCGTGCTCCTGAGCAATCTTGACGATCTCATCGATGGCCAAGTAGGCACCGACGGGGGTATATTGACCGCGACGACCGATCATGTAGGCCTCGTCGGCCTTCTGACGGTGCATGGACAGACGATCCTCATAGGAGTAGATGGCAACGGTCTGCAGGGAAAGTTCGTGGGCGGTACGGAAGATACGGATGGGAATTTCGCCACGGTTAGCGACGAGGATCTTTTGGAATTGCATGATGGCGGAGTTGGCCCGTAGCCGGCGGTGGACGGAGTCTCTGAGGTGCTCATGGTGATCATCGACGAACTCGGTGTCATCGACCGCCTCCTCGGGCTGGCGAAAGGCAGCAGCCATGGTTGGCAAATGTGTGGCGGATGAGAAGGACAAAGTGATTCGATCAGCTAGCTAACTAGCTGCCGCTGCTGCTGGTGGTGATAACAGCGATAAGTAGTTGTAAAAGATGGGGGAGGGAGCCCAAGGGGGGAGAGGAGAGGAG